ACACACACACACACACACACACACACACACACACACACACACACACAATCATCATTGTCCTTAGCTACAGAGTAAATTTGAGGCCAGCCTTGGCTACATGAGATTTTGCCCAAAATTCAGATTCAGGCGATGGAGAGACAGTCTTTAGTGACAGCAATGACGTCTCCAGAGGACCTGGGTACAATCCTTAGCACCCACTTGTAATCTTCTACAACTCTAGTTCCAGGGTATCCTCATCCTCTTTTGGCTTCCATGGGCACTGAACCATGTGATACACAGATACAAGCAGACAAAACGCACATATACATAAAGTAAAAATAAATATCGAAAAAAAATCCACACTCAAATCCCCAGACTCGCAGTGGATGTTGAGTCCGTGTTCAGGCCAGCAGGTGTGCTATTTTACCCAGCTTTGTAATTTCACTGTGGCTTAACCATCCTGGATCGTAACTGGCAGCTGTTTTGAGTAAGAAGCTTGACATCTGTTTTACTTTTATGTTAAAACCAAACAACACATTGCAATTCTTCTAAAAATATAATTTATCTTAAAAAAAAACAAAAACAAAAGCCAGGCGGTGGTGGCGCATGCCTTTAATCCCAGCACTTGGGAGGCAGAGACAGGTGGATTTCTGAGTTCGAGGCCAGCCTGGTCTACAGAGTGAATTCCAGGACAGCCAGAGCTACACAGAGAAACCCTGTCTCTAAAAACCAAAAAACAAAAAAAAAAACCAAACCAAAAAACAAAAAAACCCCAGGCATGATGGTGTGATTGCAAATGCTTTCAGCCCCAGAGCTGGGGAGAGAGACAGGCAGATCCCTGGGGCTCATGCTCACTCATCAACCAGCCTACACTAATGGGAGGCCTGGTGTAGCGAGAGACCTTGTCTCAAAATCAAGGGGGCCAGCTCCTGAGGAAGCATGCCTGAGGCTGACTTAGGCACATACTCACACATGCACATGCATGCAACAAACAAATGCCATTTAGCCCAGCTTTTGAGGCTAGCGAGGCACAAGGGGTGCTTATAGTTAGGTTCCCAGGATCACAACCTTCTCTAGTGTGCTGGGTAATTTTATGTCAACTGACACAAGACAGAGTCATTTGGAGGGAGTGACTCTTAATTGAGAACAGGCCTCCACAAGATAAGCCTCTAGGCAAGTTTGTCTGGGATGGCATTTTCGGATCACTGAATGCTGTGGGAGGGACAAGCCACGGTGGGTGGTGCCAACCCTGGGCACGTAGGGTGGACTGTGTCAGCTAAGCTGACCAGCAAGCCCATAAGCAGTGTTCCTCTATGACTTCTACATTCTCCTGTCCCCAGGATCCTGGCTGGACTTACTGCCCTGACTTCCCTCGGTGATAGAGAAGGACCTGAGAGTCGCAAGCTGAAATGAACCCCTCCCGCCACGGTTGCTTTTGTCACGTTTATCACAGCAGTAGAAATTCTAAGACACCGGGCACCTGTGAGTAGGAGGAAACCTTCATCAGTTGGGTGCCCCTCATTCACAGAATTCCTACGCCTGGATCAATTCTTAATAAAGCAGTATCGCCATCCAGCGTGTGTATCTGCTGTAACTTTCCCTTTTGTTAAGGTGCAAGAGATCAAACCCAGGCCTGGAGCAAGCAAGGTCAACACTCCCCTACTGAGCTGCATCCCCAGCTCCCTCAGAGACATTTTGACAGAAACCTGTACACTATTGCCTTACAAAGTAAAACTTGTTCAAGGACAAACTTAGATATTTGCGATTATTTCTTTAGGACTTATGTCTAGAAGGAAAATGAAAGGATACATTAATATACAACAATTTTGCTTTTATTTATTTATTTTGAGATAGTGATTTAATACATAGCCCTGGCTTGGCCTGGAACTTGCTATGTAGACCTGGCTAGCCTTGAACTTACCTCTGTCCATCTGATTCTGCCACTAAGTGCTGGGATTAAACATGAACACAACCATGCCTGCCTGGTCCAAATTATATATATTCCAGACAGACTGTTAAAAGCAACTTCTGCCAATGAAATGACAGTATTTTCACAAACCACAGCACTCAAACGAACAATTACAAAACTCAAGTAAGTGGAAGTGATGACCAGTAAATCTCCTATATAAGCTGTATCAATTAGAATCTCACATATGAAAGACATGAATTGAACCTCCCGCACGTGGATGGTGGCTGAGCCCGGGCTTACCTGGTAGCACCCGCTCCCCCAGTCTGGGTAGCTGAGTTTCCTCTCACACTGCTCCATGATGAACGCTGACTTCTGTAGCAGACAGACTGAGTGTGGCCCATACTGCTCTGCCCCATAGTTCTTAAACAGCTCTGAAAAGACCCAAAGAGTTCTCACACACTGACAACTAGCACGGAGAACAAGAATCAGGCACCCTACTCATGACTAAAAGGTGTTCTGCGGATGCAAAGACAGAAGGATTGCCAACTTGAGGCCAGCATGGGATATAGGAGACCCTGTCCTTAACAACAGCAACATAAAAGCAGGTTTAAAAACCTCAGGTGTTGAGGCAGGCCTGCTGAGTTTGCTTGGAAGGCAGAGCAGACCTGCCAAGTTTGAAGCCAGTCTCAGAAGAAGACTGTTTCCCAAAACAAAAACACATAAGCGAATCAAATTTGCTGAATGGAAAACTTCAAGGTTAAAAGGATAAACAAGACTCCAAACTCAACTGGGTTTTCAGAATGGAACCGATGTGAAAGAATCACTATACTAGAGACGAGATTAACTGGGCCCTAGGTATCTGGGTCACTTATACAGAGGACCTGGGACTAAAAGTCAGAGGTCAGATTCCAAAACAAGAATCACTTTCTGTGGTGGCCTAAATAAGGCGTCCCTTTCATGTGCAGGGCAGGTGGGTGTTTGGCTTTTGGAGACGATGTCTTGCTGTGTAGTTCAGGCTGGATTCAGAACTTGCAATCATCCCGACTCTGCCTTCCTCAAACTGAGATTTTTTTTGTATCTTTAACTTGTGGCACCTTCTGGAAATTCATATACTAGTCACAGACTAAGCTCCCAACTGCAGAAGTGTGGGTGAATGGCCCTCTAGTACTTACTAGGCAAAAAGACAAGGTCCTTAGATTCTAGTTACAGTGTGCTCTCCTTATAGTCTCCACAAGTTTCACTGTAGCTTTAATCTTGGCTACTATTTGTGTGTGTGCACATGCGTGCATGACATGGGGGATGGCCAAGCATATGAGGTGTGTGTTGAGGTCAGAGGATAACTCTGCTGGCTTGTTCTCTCCTTCCACTTCTATATGTGCTCCAGGATTCGATCTCAGGCCAGCAGGCTTGGACAGCACGTGCCTACTTGCTAAATCAAATCATGTTGCCAGCCCGAATTCCATGCTTTTCAAAATAGTGAGTTCAAGTAGCCCATTTTGAAATAGTATATACAGAAGTACTTGGTTTTCTTCAGTTTTTTTAATCTTAATTTTATGAGTGATGAAAAAAATGTGAAATAGCAAAGCCAAATCCTATGGAGCTCCCTTACCTGTGAATTTCAAGTCTCTGAAAAAAATAACAAATAGTGTGCAGAGCAGGGTTCAGCAAACTATAATCCAAGCTAAACGGATACTGTGATCTGTCCATCAAATCTTCAGCAGAGAAAATATATGTATATATCTATATATATACACACACACATACATACATATAAATTTTATGTGTATTGATGTTTTGGCTGCATGTATGTCTGTAGACCATGTACATGCCTGCCTGGTACCTGAAGAGGCCAGGAATGGGTGTCTGGTGCCCTGGAGTAGGAGTTTCAGACAATTGTGAGCTGCTGGAAATTGAACCTGGGTTCTGTGGAAGAACAGCCAGTGCTTTTAACCACGGAGCCATCTCTGCCCTGCTTTTTGAGACAGGGTGTCACTGTAGCCATGATGATTTATGAGGTAAGTATTATACAGGCAGAGAAATCAAGTAACAGACAAAAATTAAGGAATTGAAAAAACTCAAACTCATCTGGCTACGAGGACTCTGCCCTCTGCCACTATTTTACATTGGAAACAGAAAACTGTATGATGTAGGCCATGTGGTGGTGTCACACACCTTTGACCCCAGTTCTCAGAGGAGGCAGAGGCAGGTGGATCTCTGAGTTTGAGGCCAGCCTGGTCTACAGATTGAGCTCTAGGACAGCCAGGGCTACACAGAGAAACCCTGTCTGGAAAGAAAATAAACAAAGAACAACATTGTATGATGAACTTAACCCTTCATTCACTAGCCTACTCACCTGGTTGGTTTTCCAGTATTCTACAGTCGGAGCTTCGCTGGTATTCGCCACTTAGATGCCAGCTGAATTCCTGACTGAAAGGACAATAGTCAGCGATTTCTACTGACCCACCATAGTAAGGCAAATCCTCGGCGGATATCCCACTGAGCTCATCAAAGTACTGCGAACAAATCACAAGTGGGGAGGAAAGGAAGAGTCATCTGTGGGACCAAACAAGACCAGGGGCAGTTATAGCACCCTGCTACTGCTGTGCACCAGACAGTGCTGCAGGTTTCCCCATAAACTGTACAATAAAGAAGATGTGTGTGATACCCCACATAGGGCACCCTCAGGACACGTGGTAAGATAGTTAGGTACCCATTAAGACGACAGATTTGACTGATTTAAAAGGATGAAAGAGAAATAGAGTAGGCAAAGGAAGACTTAAAACCAAAATTTAACATCTTCATCTCTTAGCATGAAGCATCAACTTAGTGCATCTTTGGACTGTATTGTATTAGAATGTTTGATTTTTAAAGTTGCTGTCTGGGCTGAGTGTGATGGTGCCAACACTTGGAGGTAGAGGTAGGTGAATCTCTTGTAAGTTCGAGGCCAGCATGGTCTACATAGTGAGTTCCAGAACAACAGCCAGGGCTATATAGAGAGATCCTGTCTAAACAAAGCAAAACAAAACAACACATCTGTTGTCTCAGTTGCAGATTTGAATTTAATAAAAATAATTAAAGGAATTTTGGCTTGAGATTGGCTCAGAATTTCAAATAATCTTGGAAATGATGCTAAACATACTTCTGGCATTTTGGACTACGTATTTATGTGAAATGGTATTTATAAAGTTAAAATATTGATATTTCTGGAAAACACTAAAAGTGTTTTGTCCTGCAGTGAAGATTTAACTATTTAAATGAAACAGAGTAGTGCATCTACCTTATTAGTACAAATATTTGATTTTGTCTTTAATAAATAGTAAAAGTATATGTGTATCAAAAATAATAAAACAAAACCCCCAAAAGACAATCAAGCAGAGCCAGGCACGGTGGCACAGCCCTCTAATCCCAGCAGTGGGAGGCAGGCAGATGGGTCTGTGGTCTCTACAGTGAGAACCAGGCCAGTCAGGACTACACAGTGAGACCTTGACCCACAGACAAGCACCACAGAAAACAGGAAGAAAAAGAGGGTTGATATAATGTAAAACTAATGCATAAACTGATGACATTGTCAATATAAAACACTAGGCACAGCGGACTGTGCTGTAGCCCTGACCCCACTTTTGGGGAGGCTCAGCCATGGGACTACTAGAACCCAGGAAGAAATTTGGGGCCATCCAAGCAATACAGCAAGAATAATAAACATAGGAAATGTGTAAGTAATCTTAGGAAAAAACCTTGAAAAAGAAAGCTGTTTATGTGAACCGGTCTGAATACCAAAGGAACAGGGAACCAAGTATACTGTAAAGGTTTCACACTGTGCCAGCAAGGGGCACAGGACTGTCAGTCCCAGCATGTGGTAGACTGAGGCAGGAGGACTTAGAGCTCAGCCTGGGCTCCATGGTAACTGGGAAAAGAAATCACACTTTATACTAACACACTGATACTATTCCTAGAAATCCCCTTGCCATGTGATGGGGTCTGATATATTTAGTGAGGTTAAGCACATGCTGGAACTTCACAATTGAGCAGGAGTTGGAGGGAGAGCTACCTCAGTGCTCTTACAGAGTGCCTGAGTCCCATTCCCAGCACCCTGGCAGCCCTGAGCTATCCCCTCCTTCACCCCCTTGTTCATCTTTTAGCTTCCACAAATCTAATTATTTTTTTAAAGCAGAACATCCACACCTTGTAATTAGCAGGGTTAGAATAACTAAACTATTTTTTTTCAAGATTTTTGTTTTCTGAGTAAATAAGAAAAATTTAAAGAAGGAGACATTAGCAATGTTTTGAAACAAAAAGTTCCAATCAGATGCTGGGGAGGCAGCGTGGTGGCTAAAGCGCTCTCTGTGCAGATATGAGGGCCTGCATGCGTTCCTCAGCACCCATGCAGACCGGGCACAGGGGCAGCAGCCCTGTCGCCCACTGCTGGGACATGGGACAGGATCCTGCTTTGCTTGGCTGCTGACTCAAAGCACAGCTAGGTGCTCTGTCCCTGCCAGGCAGCAGTTGGCCTTGAGCAAATGAGGGTTCTGCAGGCCTTTTCTCCTCTTTCTAACAGAAACATATAGAAACTTACACAAGAAAAAATGTAAAAGGTTTGCTTACTTAATTAAATAGAGACTACTTTTTTAAAAAGTCAATTCTTAAAGCTGTGCTGGGAGCTTGTGGTACCTGGTACTCGGGTGGTAAAGGGTTAGGAAACCTCTGCAGGTTACACACAGCAACGGCTCTCTGGTCCTGTCTGCAAGTCAACTGCAGCGGGTTACTCCTGAGCGTGTCACAGTATGGGCTTGGCACCTGCCTCCTGTGCACGAGGAAGACAAGTTGGTTATTTTCCATGTCAACGGCCTGTTGCGTGGAGGTCTGTACAGCTTTGTAAAATCCAGTTCTGTAGATCTGCATTCTTAATTACTTCAATCATTGAGGGGAAATTTTTAAAATATAAAAAGTATGAAGTCTCATTTCTACTTCCTGGAAGACAGAACAAATACATTTCCTCTCTTCTTCATTTGAAGCACACCTGTGGCCCCTAGATATCAGGACTAACAAAAACAGAAGATGGAAAAGCAAAGAGAAGACTGCAGACTAGTTAGGGACTCAGGACTAGAGACATAGTGCAGTGGGATCTTCCTCAACACAAGAACAAAGTAGCCAGTGGCTCCTGGGTAAAGGCGCTAGTCCCTCAGACTGAATTCTTCCCCAGAACCCACATAAAAGTGGGGGGAGAGACCCAACTCCACAGAGTTGCCTTCTGACAGCTACTCATGTGTCATGGCACGCACACTTCCCTACACACAGTGTGGACACATGCAATAATATAAGTAGATTTTAAAAAATAATTTAATTTTAAATTTAAAATATTTAAAACAATCAGCAGAATGAGAAGCAGGAAATCAGCAAGCACACAAAAGGAGTTAACACCATCCACTCTCAGTGAACCTGGCCATAGTGTTCTACCTAATGGCAGAATGTGCATTCATTCTAAGTGTTCAGAGACACAGCCCTGTTGTGAGCCATAAGGCAAACCTCAATAAGTTCAGAACAACTGAAGTCACACAGAGTCTTTCCTCCATGACACTGGAATCAAGCTAGAATTCAACAGCAAAAGTGTGAGTCAACGACTGTCAAACCCGACATTCAGTAAATAATCTCAGGTTGGAGACGATGACTCAGGGGAAAATGCTTTGAAGTAGATGACAAGAAAGCCACAGCGTGCTGAAGTGGTGGTTGTAGGGGCTGCTGGGGAAGAGACTTACAGTATGAGAGACACAGAGAGAAGAAACGCTTCTCACCAAATGGTTCAAGGGTCTGGAGAGAGGAGAAAATGCCAGAACAAGCAGAAGGAAGAGATGTAGAAGAGCCGACCCAGTGAGAACAGAACACAGGGTGGATCAAACAGAACAGAGTGGATCAAAATGGACCCGACCCCTCCTCAAACATGCTATGCAGCTGAAGAGGACCGTGAACTTCTGATCCTCCTGCCTCCGTCTGCAATAGTGGGATTACAGGTCTACTTCTCACCAAGTGTATGTGGCACTGGAAATCAAACCCAGAGCTTCATGCTAGGCAAGTACCCTACTAACTGAGCCACATCCACACTTCCCAAAAAACGGTTGTTAAGGGAGATCAATAAGATAAAAAAAAAAAAAATCTCGGGAAAAAAACAATGAGAGTAGGCATGCCTTAGGACTGAAACAGTATGTCACACAGCAGCGACCTGACAGACAACTGAAAGGTAGTGAGTGTTAACAAGTACAGTCAGCTGCATACATGTACATCTGATACCTCAGACGGTAACGCAGACCAATCCCTCACAAAATATAACGAGCCACAAGTTATTCAGCGTGAAATCGACAACTCGAGTAGCATATAAGTATTAAGGAAGCTGAGTTCACAACATGAGAAGTCTTAAAAGAGCAATCTCCAGGGCCAGACCATGTCACTGGGAAGTCTCCTTTACACCTAACAACGATGCTTGCTCCAGTGGTGCAGGCAGATAAGTAGGAGAGGCTGAGGCAAGATCATGAGTTTGAAGCCAGCCTGGGCCACAGAGCAAAACTGTCAGGGACAGTGGGAGGGAGAGAGGAGGGATGGACAGATGGCTCAGTGGTTAAGAGTTCATGCTGTTCTTGCACAGGATTCTAGTTCGGTTCCCGGCACCAACACTGGGAAGCTTACAACTTTCTGTAATGCAGCACTAGGCTATCTGACGCCCTCTTTTAGCCTCCTCAGGAACACACACCAATGTGTACATGCACACACACACAACTAAAGAAGAAAATAAAAATAAATCTTAAAAAAACAAGAAGTAGCGGGGAGGAGGGGGGAATACCAGTTATATACAACCTTTCCCAGAAACTAAAGAGAATGAGGCCTTCTTAGTGCATTCTAACATAAATGAGGTAAAAACTGAACTAAAGGAAGAAAGAAAAACTACCCTAGTGTGTAGAGTAAGGAAACCATAAGCGGTTAAGAGAAGCCCTCCATGATAAAGAGCTGGCCTTCCAGGGAGGCAGTAATGTCTGACGTTTACATGTCTACTAAATGTCAAAGCACACGCAGAGCTGCTGCTAGGGCTGCCAAAAGGTGACTTCACCATTAACTGCAGACTCCACCTCCCAGAATGCACAGCAGAGGGCAGCCTCGGCAAGGATAAAAGCCAGCTCAGAAGCACACTGCTTTTTAAATTCACAGGGAACGTTCACCAAGAAAGGCCATATTCTGGACCAAAATACACAAGCCAACCAACTTAAATGAAGGAAGATATACCGTGCCCACTCCCAGGGAAAAGAGAATGAAACTAGAAATGAATAATGAGACGGGGAAAACCTCAACTACTTGTAGATTTCAACTTTTAAGAGAAACAAGACTAAGATGGCTCAGTGGGTAGGAATATTCTACCAAGCCTGATGACCTAAGTCAGATCCGCAGGACCCACGTGGTGGAAGGAGAGAAGCTATGCTTGCAAGTTCTCCCTTCAGGCACAGATGCATGTACAAGAGTGCAGCATGCCCCCCCCCAACATAAAATGTTTAACTAAACATGTTAGGAATTTGAAACAATAACCCGAACACTAGGAGAAGATATTTACAAACTATATATCTAACAAGGACCAGTATCTAAAATATATAATCTTTAAAGCTAAATAAAAAACCATCTAATTAGAGAATTACCTTAAAATATAGAGGCAATTCGCTAAAAAGGATGTAAAGATAGCACAAATGCATAGAAACAAAGCTATTATCACTGGTCATTAAGGGAAAAGCACTAAAGCACAGGAAGATATCATTACACACCTATGAGAATCACAGAATAAGAAATAGTGATAACACCAAATGCTGGCAATGACGTGGAAAAACTATCACACATTACCTCTAGGAATTTTAAAAAAGAATTTGCTGTTTCTTAGAAAATTAAATCTACAACTAGCATATGAGCCAACAACTGCACTTTTGGAAATGAAGGTCACGTAAAGCCTTTTGCACAAATGTTTTATAGTAATTTCATTCACAATAGTCCCAAGGTGGAAATGACCAAGGTGTCTTCAAAATACGAATGCTTAAGCAAACTGTGGCATATCCACATAATGGAATACTAGTCAGCATTAAAAAAAAAAAACAGATTAACATGGCTCTTCATGCTCATAATCTCAGCATTTGGAAGGCTGAGGCAGGAGGACTGCCATGAGTTTAAGGCCATTTTGGTGCACTTAGTACTACTAATGCAGGAAAGACTACATAAATAGTAAGACCTTGTCTCAAAAACAAAGCAAGGCAAAGCAAAACAAACTGATAATACACACAACAATGTGGCTGAACATAAACACTCAGTGCAAAATGCAACCACTGTGCCTATGTAACATTCATTTAATGTTTGAGATGTCTGCATCTTTATACATCCTTCAAAATGACAGAAATACAGACATGGACAATAGATTACTGGATTCCAGAGTTTCAGGAGGGCTGTGTTGGGAGGGAAGTAGACACGTCTGATTGAGCAACATGAGGGACCCTTGTAGACTGGTCTCAGTCTGACTGAGCCTATCTCGGTGCCCTGGCGAGGACATTGTAGGACATTTTCAAGATGTTCCTTATCCAGAAATGAATTATAGGGAACCACTGCTTTTATTAGTTGCTTATCTCTTCATATACATAACTGTTTAAGTTAGGGCTGTAGTTACAGAAACAGCTCTGTAACATCTCTCTAAGTGCTCAGTGTGTGTGTGTGTGTGTGTGTGTGTGTGTGTAACCAGGCCAAACACAATATCCTATACCTAAAAGAGCTTGGCAGGTGATTGCCATAAACATTCAGTTTTCATAACTCCAATCTAGAGAATATTTATTCTTCAGGACTGGGGATTGAATCCAGGACTTTGCACATGCCAGACAAACGTTCTACCACGAAAGTATATCATTACTCAAGTTTCTGGATACTAAATCAACATTTGCTGGTATATTTGTGTGTGTGTTCTCTGAAGAAAACAGTAAGAATGAGAGACCATGCAAAAAGCTTACAAAATATCTATGCCTATCAATTATAAGCCAAACAGAACTCTTCGAGTATTTTCTCCACACAGTAGCTGATATTTGATGCTCATGACATGACAAAACACTGTGAGAAATGAACTTCACAAAGACATAGTATGGAAACATAGTCTTACTTTTGCCTGTGCTGATCAATCCAGAATTTGCAGCTCTTCCTGACAAATTCACAGCCCATTCCTCGGCCCCAGTCGAGTTTCTCTGCCATGCTGTAATTTGCTTTGTACCAGCTGTGGAGACAACGCAGAGAGAATACCTTTTACTGACTCTAGTACCTACTAGAGATGTCAGCAATGTACAGAGCAGAGGGACCCAGGAGGCCTCTGACAGAGCTGCACATTGCTACGGCCCTTGATGCAGGGGGCTGGGGTGGGCTGGTGTGGGTGTTGCTGCTCAGGATTGTGGGTAGAAAGGGTTTTAAAATCAAGGGCAGTTCAGTCAGTAAAGACTCATAAGTTGGGAGCCATTTTGCCTTTGTGAATGTCTGTCAGGCAGAGCCAAGTCAGCCCAGGGTCTGCTGGTGGATTTCCTGGCCTGCTGACACACGGAAGGATAAGAGGGGATACACTTGAAGCTCAAGGCAAGGGGCTGAATGTTCTGTTAATCTTGGAGGAAGGAACAAGGAGGAATAGGGAGAACTCCAGACAGATACAGGTATCAAATATCTGTGAGCCATTGTCTCTGCTAGCTTGTGACTTTGTTTCCCACCATGCTATAAAGTATATAAATCCTATAAGAATAAAACCTGAGGCGGCCACAGGACTGACTGGACAGTGCTCCTGATTTCTAACCTGTGTCTCTGAGTCTTTTCTTCTGTCTTTCCTATAATCATCCTCACTCCCCCCACAGAAGACTGTCACTCTTCCCCTAGGCTGGCTCAGTTAGCTGACTCTCTTGTCCCGGCCTTTAACTTACTCCATCAACATAGGCCCTGTTTGCAAATAAACACTATCACAAAACAAGTACTGCAATGCTTTTTAAATGTTCTAATTTCAGGGAAAAAAAAAAGAATACAATGGTTGAGTTTCCTAAAAATTTTTCATTAAAGACAATGAGCCCATGTTTGTGAGTACTTATTTTAAGGACTTAATTTGCAAAAAGTCCCAGAATAATATCTGCCCATATCACTTTTCTCCCTTTAGCAAACTATCCCTTCTGCTCGAGCCACCTTCCACAATACCAAGTGGAAGCAGAAAAACACAATACAGACTCTTCCAAACCTCCTCTTCCAAAGAGCAGAACCTCAGGGAGGAAAGGAAGGAAGGAACCAGCACTCCAACACCAAAGGCCTAGAACTAAACTCTCTGTGCTGCAGTAATTTGGTTTACAGCAAGGTTAGGAGGGTGAGGGGGTCATAAGGGGCATGGAGATGTTTGTGCTCATAGACATGTATTAGGGAAACCTGGATGCTAAGCACAAGGGGTTGTTCTTCAAGGGAAAGATTGCAAAGCCTGCTTTGTGCCCAGGAGTGACCTGCTTCTAGCCTGGTGACCTTTGCACAATCTGTGCGGCCAGAGACTTTCTGGCATTGGACCCTTCCAGACCCTCTTTAAAGCTGGAGAGATGGCTCAGAGGTTAAGAGCACTGGCTGCTCTTCCAGAGGTCCTGAGTTCAATTCCCAGAACCCACATAGTGCCTCACTACCATCTGTAATGGGATCTGATGCTCTCTTCTGGCCTGAGGTGTAAATGCAGACAGAACATATATGTAAAATACATAAATCTTTTCTTTTAAAAAAGCAAAACAAACAAAAAACTTGTTTTTCTCAGTCAATCTATAAAACTTTTCTTAGGTTAGCATTTTTTTAAAAAAAGATTTATTTATTTCATGTGAGTACACTATTTTTGTCTTCAGACACACCAGAAGAGGGCATCAGATCCCATTACAGATGGTTGTGAGCCACCATGTGGGTGCTGGGAATTGAACTCAGGACCTTCGGAAGAGCAGTCCCTGCTCTTAACCACTGAACCATCTCTCCAGCACCCACGTTTTTTTATTTTATAGATAAAAAAGAAATGAATCTGACACCCTTGAGAATTAACATGTTCAGTACTTCGTGGAATGCAGACCATAGATCAAAACTGTTCCTCCATCACAGGCAGATCTCCCTCCACACATCCTGACTCCTCCTTGGTGACGTTTGCTTGTAGGACTTGTTAGATGCTGGGCACTTTGCTAAGTGCTAAGGCTAGCACAGTGAACAGATAAACATTCTTTCTGTTTACAGAACATTTCTGATCTAGAGACTGGAGAGATACTTAGCAGTTAAGAGTATTTCCTGCTCTTCCAAAGGACGCAAGTTCGGTTCCCAATACCCACACTAGCAGCTCACAGCTGCCTATAACTCTAGCTCCAGGGGATCCAATGCCTTCTTCTGGCCTGTGTGGGTACCCACATATATGTAACATAGATATACACAAATAAAAATAAGCATTGTGCGTGCTGTTCCCAGTAATCCCAGCCATGGTGAGCAGAGGCAGGCAGAGCGTTGTCAATTTGAGGCTAGCCTGGTCTAGTTTTAGGCCATACAGAATGACACAATGAAACCTTGTCTCGAATAAAGAAACAAAACAAACAATAAACAAAAAAATAAATAAAAATTCAAAATTTCTAATCTAGTGAGGAAGACAGATAAATGAAAAGTGTTAACAGAAGCGTGTTCCCAGCAAAGCTTTAAGCTCGTGTGGGGACCACAGGCTTTCTCCAGGAAGCATTGGAAACAGAGTTTCCAGGGCATTTTTGAGCTGCAAGATCACTTAGTAGGTTCTTTATTTCAAAAGCAACAGAGTGAAGGACTGTGCTGTACACAGAAAGAGTAAACCTTTTCTCATGAGACTTTGGTTCAGGTTTTATATAAAATTCCTTCCCTTGGCTGATAATTACAATGTGCTGAGGCGCTGTACCTCAGTTAAGCGTCAGAAAGCCCTATGGACTGAGTACCCTGTCACCTCTATGGAGTGAATATCCCTGTCCCCTCTGTGGAGCGAGTACCTGTCACCTCTGTGGAGTGAATATCCCTGTTACCTCTGTGGAGTGAGGAGCCCTGTCACCTCTGTGGAGTGAGGAGCCCTGTCACCGTTGTGGACTGAGTACCCCGTCACCTCTGTGGAGTACCCCTGTCACCTTTATGGAGTGAACGCCCCTGTCACCTCTGTGGAGTGAATATCCCTATCCCCTCTGTGGAGTGAGTACCCCTGTCACCTCTATGCAGTGAGGAGCCCTGTCACCTCTATTTACAAATGAGCAAACTCAGACAAGGGTGCAGGCCTGTGAGTGACAATGCCTAGGCTTTAGAGGTTAGCTTCAATGTCTCTTTGTGCTTTAAAAAGTGAGAGCTAACCCACAGAACATGAACTTAATCTTTATAATGGGCACATGAGTTTTTTGTATACACACAAGATCATGCGATAACTATTTAATTTCAGGACTCTTCCATCACAAATAAACCACGGTCCTGTCCCCATCTCCTGTTCCTGATGAACACTAAACCTCTGTCAGTCTATGAATTTGCTGGACATTTTCAAGAAATGGGATTCAGTCTTTTCTTTCACTTACATAATAATGTTTCCCAGGCTCATTCATGGTGTAGTGTTTATCAGAATCTCTCTTCTGTTGGTTTTTTTCTTTTCTACAGCCTCTGGGGTGGGGGTTTTAAAGTTATAGCAAAATTATGTAGAGGGTACAAAGAGTTTCTGCGTCCTCCCTACCTTACAGGCTCACAGTATCCTTCACCAAGGTTACATACTGGTTACACCAGTGAATCTACCCGGAATGCCATCACTACCCCAAATCCATAGTTCACATTAGGGTTGCCTCTTGGTGTTGTATATTCTTTAAGGTAAACATGTTTTGCCTAGCATGAATGCATAAAATCCCCAAGTTTGATCTCTAGCACCACCAGAAAAGAAGGAGGGAAGAAATCTATACACATAGTCCACACAGCATGACTTAGCACCACCCTGTCCTCTGCCTGTTCACTGCCCCTTCCTGCAGGTTCTTAGTGTTAAAGAATTCTTCCTTGTCTGATCCTCCATAGTAGTTTATCCAGCCGATACGAGCATCTGTGTGCAGCCTTTTGATTTCAACTCAGGCCAGGCAGTGGTGGTGCACACCTTTAATCCTGCCACTCAGGAGGTATGCGGATCTCTGTGGGTTCGAGGCCAGTCTGGTCTACAGAGCGAGTTCCAAGACAGCCAGGGCTACACAAAGAAACCCTGTTTCGAAAGCAAACAAACAAAATAGAGAGTTTCAACTCATTTATAAATATCAAGCTGGCTGTATGGTTAGAACATCTTTGGTTTTATAAGCAATTACCAAACAGTCTTCCGATGTGGCTGAATCATTTGCCTTCTACTGACAGTGAATGAGTTCCTGTTACTCCACATCCTTACTGGGACTTAGTGGTACTCAAAGTGCTGTGTGTGTAGTCTGTTAATGATGTGATGTCAAGCTTCTCTGGACTGCTCATTTGCCTCTGTATATCTTTTTTGAAGAAATACTTTTTTGATCTTTTATATCTTTTAAAACAATGCCTTTTCCCCTATGATTCTTTTCCTATTAGGTCGTTTACTATTCTTCTGCACAGTCTGGACATTGTAAAGTCACCTGATCAATGATCTGAAAATATTTTTCCTCATTCTGTGACTTATCTTTGTACTTGAAAATGTTCTTTGAGGCACACTTTTAACTTTTTTTTGATTAAGTCTAAATGTTCTATTTTCTTTTTGGTTGCCAGAGCTTCTGGCATTAGATTTAGGAAGCACTTCCTAATTCAGTATTATCGAGATTCATATCTTCTTCATTTTGAGTGCTTTATGCTTTCAAAGCTTCCTGTGATGTGAAACATTACACCAATTAAACTGCACACTTATGTAGAATGTGTGAAAAAGGTTTAGGTTAACAGACCCAAGAGATACACCAACCAACCAGGACTATATTTGGATCCTAAACAAATCACTTATAAAAGGAGAAAAACAGGATTATGTAATTATACACAGAATATTATAAAATAGAAAGGATTAACTTTGTTCATGGTTCTTTTAAAAGTTTACATATAGAAACTCATAGTACAATGTATAGGAATATTATCTGCAACTTTCAAGATTAGACAGACAATGTTACACCTAAGAGACAACACATTGCTGACTCTAGGACATAGGCATACGAGAGTTAATGTTTTCATGCATGGTTTTCTCCATGCACTTTGTGTATATCAGTATATTTCATAATAAAATACTTAAATGAGTAATAGTCCCAAGATGACAGAAGTCCATATACACTTAAAATATGTATCACTTTCTAAAAGTGACGTTTTATTTCAAATTTTGCATGCTAATAATGACTTTTCAAAGTGGCAAGAGCTACCTTGAAGGATGTATGTTTTTTCCTTAGTGTCATCCCAGTGAGTAGAGTAAGAGAGTAGGTGAGCTGCATGTGGGACATGTCTGTCATCGCAGTACTTGGAAACAAGAGGCAGGAGAAGCCAGAGTTCAAAGCTAGCCTGGGATAGTGAGTCTTGCCCCAACCCCCCAAACCAACAACAATAAAAAAATCCTACAAGGATCAAAAAGTAGATTTGTGTAGTTTGTCATAAAACAATGCCCATGAATTATTTATCTACTTACATACAATTTCTGCCTTCCTCTCTCCCTTGAGATTGGATTTATTCCACCCTCGACATGGAAACCATCATTTATAGATCTCTTCAACATCCTGCTTCTGCCTACAAAACAGCCTGCATCTCACTCCCACCTCCACCTGCATCTCACTCCCACCTCCACCTGCATCTCACTCCCACCCTCCACCTGCATCTCACTCCCACCTCCACCTGCATCTCACTCCCACCTCCACCTGCATCTCACTCCCACCTCCACCTGCATCTCACTCCCACTGCACCTGCCGAGTTAACGGGCTGACGTGAACAAAGCTGACTCCCACCTGAGCTGATTGCTTTCTCCCATTAAGCTCATTTGTTCTTGGTTCTCTGGATCTCACTTATTTGGCACTGATAGGAAAAGCTTTCTCAGTGAAATCCTTTCTGACTGAGATTTGGCTCTCGTTAAACAGAAAAGAGAAATGACCAGTCTCATCAGTATTATTACCATCACTATGACTATTGGGTGGGGGCGTCTATGTTGGGGATAGAACCTCAAATATGCCAGGCAAGTGTTCTACCTTTCAAGCCACTGTACCCCACTCCTCATTTTTACTGAAACTGTTCTAAGGGTCAGCCATGACCTCTATATTTAAAAATCTTTATACTTCTGTGGTACTTTGAATGAGAATAACCCCATAGATTTACATATTTGAATGATTCATATTTACATTTGGTGACACTATTTGGGAAGGATTAGGAGGTGTGGCCTTGTTGGAGGAGGTGTGTCAGTGGGGGCAGTCTTGAGGTTATAAAACATTCCTGTGACTTCCAGTGCTCTTGGCCTCACGTCTGGAGTGAGATGTGAGGTCTCAGCTGGCCCTTTGCTCCACAATCACAGTCTTTAAGCCTCTGAACCATTAAGTCAAAATAAACAGTTTCTTTTCTAAATTGCCTTGGTTATGATGTTTTATGATAGCAGTAGAAAAGTAATTAAGATGACTTCTTGATTTTAATTTTTAAATTTAGCCTTAACTTTTTTTTTTTTTAAATTTTATTTTTTATATGTATGGGTGCTTTAACTGAATGTCTGTCTGTGCACAGCATGTGTGCCTAGTGCCTGAGAAGGCCAGAAGAGGGTATCAGATCCTCTGGAACTGGTGTTGCTAACACTTGTGAGATGCCATACGGGTGCTGGGAATTGAACAAGATTCCTCTGGAAGGGCAGCAGTGTTCTTAACCGCTGAACATCTCTCCAGCACCTAAATTTTTATACTTCATTGACCCTTCAAAAGTTAAGGCAATAACAATCAGCGTGTGTGTGTGTGTGTGTGTGTGTGTGTGTGTGTGTGTCAAAGTCTAGGCTGGATCTCACAATCACCCTGCATCAGCCTCTGGAGTGCTAGGATTCCAGGCAAGTATCACCATGACTGTTTATTTTCATGGTTTTAACAATATGTTTATCACTGGTTTTCAAACTGGATGCTATTTTCTAATTTCTTGTGGGCTGTTTTAGAAAAAGCAGGAGGCAATAATGCTTCTACTAAAATCGCTCTGATTTGTTAAGGAGGAGTTATATAAAGTGCTTTATTTAAAAAGAATATTTCACTGGTTTACCAGAGAAAGATCCATTTCTTGAAAGATTAGGACTCTACTGGGAATGCCAAGGCTCACCTTTAACCCCAGCAGGTGGGAGGCAGAGGCAAGAGGTAGGTGAGTCTTTGTGAGTTTGAGGCCAGGCTGGTCTACACTCCAAGTTCCAGGCAGGTAAGGAATACACAGTGAGATCTTGTTTCAAAATACAAAACAACAACAGCAAAAAATCCTAGGAATCTATATATTACTCATTCAATTAAATAATTTAAAATTATTTAGATTAGTTTTCCCTTCATATTAGTGTGGTTTCTTAGTATCTTAGACTTTGTTATAGTATTCTGTTATATTAAGAACAAACTGCAAAAAAGTCAAAGAACCAGTAAGTACATTTTGCTTTGAAACAAAATATCAGCACCTTCCTGAGCTGTGTTTTTAATACTCATTTCAGTCTATAAACAGATCATTCTTTCCCAGCTGTCTTACCCAGTGTCCTCCATTAATGCCAGAGTGATTCGAGACAGGACTCTGTTCTGGGTATGAGAACCAGTCATTGCTTCATTCTGAAAATCACCAACACATTTTATTAGAAGACAACTCTATGACCCCTATTTAAACATATTTAAGCTGTTTCATGTGGTAAAATATTTACTTGAAAATGATCAAATACAAAAGCCTTAAACTGTCTAGACTGGGGAAGCAGAGCCTCCTCTCTGCCTCAAGTCTCCGTCGTTTAGGATGTTCCTTGGTGACAGACAACCAGCAGGGAGGGCTTTATGAGGAAAATGAACGGAAGCATCCATGGAGCGAGGAACACTGCTGCAAAAGTTCACGCTCCCTAAGCAAAGTAAGCAAGTGAGTGGTTCAGACAGGCGCTGCGATTACTTTAGAGGCAGGAGGGACGTTTACATGGATTTACAAAGGAAAAGCTTTCCTAACTTGCAACTCTGTGATCACAAAAACCTATACTAACGTGGGAAACAAGCAGGGCAGAACCAGGGATCAAGGGGTTAGAGGTCAAGCTCTGTAGACCAGGCTGGCCTCAAACTCATAGACATCCACCTGCCTCTGCCTCCCGAGCGCTGGGAATAAAGGCCTGCACCACCACAGTCCAGTACTTTCCTGACACCTTAACATCATCCTTAATACAACAGTTCAGGGACACAATGTTGCTTTAAGAGAAACAAAGTAGCTAATAAAATTGGTATTCTCAGGTGTTCTACCAGAAAGGACATAGCGTTTGTTTCCTGGCCAATCTATAGCTTCTAAGGAAATCACTTAAGAAAACTCTTAAGGAAATTACAGAGACAGAGATTCCCAGGGGAAGAATGAGGGCATTTGCTTCACAAATGTTCACCATCATTACTACATAGTGACCTAGATCAGACCAGCTGGGCAGAAGCAGAAATTCACTCTTCCTAAACTTATAACCTTCCGTCATGAGCTCTATTTGCTGAAACTATCTAATCAGATCTCTAAGAAGAACTATAGATACACACATACTTTTTGCCCAAAGCATTTCACTTCCAGAGTCATAATTCTACTTCCAAATTATTGTTTCTATACAAACATGATGTGGGATTAATTTCTGGCTCTATTTCCCTGAAACCTAATAAATATAGGACGTTACCTGGTAGCAGTATGTAAGGAGAAATGACCTACTAATGTACCTCTGGGCTTGGAATTTCTTTTTTTTTTTTTTTTAATTTATTTTTATTTTTTATTTTTTCCGCTTCCCTTCTCCCTCTTGCTCCAGCCTGCTCACTCAGCCCCGCTCCTTATGGCCCTAGCCTGGGCTTTCTTTAAATGAACATGAATACCCATTAGTAAGCCACAGTTTGGAACGTCACTGTGTAAAATGACTATTAGGTGTGTGTCCCTTATGGAGTCTGAAAGTTATGTCTGTGGAACCACTAAATAATAGCTCCTATTTTGGTCACAGTACTGTTAGGTCAACCCAGGTCTTGCATCTGTCTATGGTGGGGTTTCCTGTTCCTGTACTGTAGCTGAGGGAGAGAGGTGCTGCCAACAGTTTCCTGTGTGTAACACAAGAAAAATGCCTGATTCTGCTGTGTTGGCATGTTGTGTGTGCTGATATCCTTCTACAGGAACTGTAAAATGCAGGTTCAAATCCCAGTACTACAAAGCAAAAACATATTTTTTTAGCGGGGCATGGTGGTACAAATTTGCAATCCCAGAATTCAGTGGCAGAGGAAGAGGCAGGAGGGTTGCTGTAAGTTCAAGGCCAGCCTGACTACATAATAAGACATTGTCTTAAAAATAAAAAAAATATTAAAAAAAAAGAAAAAAAAAAAGAAAAAACATTTATTATTTAAAACATAATGGTTATTAACATGGGCTTGTTCCATTTATATAATACAATATTATGAAGCTCTAAAAACTTAGGAGATTCAACTTGATATTCCATGGCTGGTTGCTATACATTGAGACCAGCTCTCTTCTGAAGACAAATGGGGAAGGAGTGGGTAGGGGGTGGAGGAGACTGGGAGGGGAGGAGGTAGGGGAAACTGTGGCTATAATGTAAAGCAAATAAAATTTGAATAAATAAATAAGTAAATAAACAAAGTTTGGAAGATCCAAAACTTGAGACTATGCCACTAACGCAGGTCTCCCATTCATATCCGTGCCCTGTCTGAATACTCCCTGCCGTGGTAAAGATAGCCACCCTGTGAGCCCGGACAGACCTCTAGCAGGCGCTTCTCCCAGTGGTTGAGCTCTGTGCCCATCCCGCCTTGGTTTTCAAGCTCCATCCCCTCTAGGACTGGACAGTTAAAATGTTTCCGAGCTTCTTCCTGAGAATCAGAAAACAAACAGCCACAGAGCAGAGTAAGACAACAGCCATTCCTTTTAAAGAGTTAGTTTGATGAGACAGAACCTCTTTAAAATACGACTTTCAAGATAGTTAAATAATTTGATGCTATTACATTCTTCTTGCTTAGAAAACTATTATTCCTTTTAATATTTTTTCTCTCTGAAGATTAACTTTAAAAACTATTTATTTGTGTGTGTGTATTTGCATGCAGGAACATAGGTGAAAGGGTGCCAGAGTTCTAAAGCTGGAGTTACAGCTTTAGTGGGACTCCCAGCTCGTTCACATGGGTGAGGGACTCTGGTCCTCACGGATGCATGGTAAACTCTCTTGATGACCACTGAGCCATCCTTCACTTTTTGACTTAAAAGGACATTTCCCCCTCCCGGATAAGGGGGTCTCTCTATGAAGCCTTGGCTGTCCTGGAACTCACAGAGTTTGAATATAACAGCTTCTGAAAGTTCAGAACAGCCAGGAGTGCAAGGAGAGAGTCTGTCTCAAAAACAGGCAAACGAGCAAGCAGTCTATACAGGTTCCTTGCCCATTGTTTGTTGTTGCTGGTCTTATTTTCCTTTTAGGAGCCATGGCCACACTCTGTAACCTAGGCTGGCCTCACCTCTCCATCCCCTGCCTCAGAACCCTCAGTGCTAGGATTACAGGCATTCATGGTATCTATCTGTATGCTTGTCCCCTTTTCAAGTAGGGCTTCTGTTTTCTTTTTTTTTTTTTTTTTTTTTTTGGTTTTTCGAGACAGGGTTTCTCTGTATAGACCTGGCTGTCCTGGAACTCACTCTGTAGACCACGCTGGCCTCGAACTCAGGAATCCTCCTATCTCTGCCTCCCAAAAAGGAGATTAAAGGCGTGTGCCACCACTGTCCGGCAGGCTTTTGTTTTCTTGTAGTTCCATTCTTGTATCCTTTTACAATAACTTCTTAGTAGACATATGGTTTGCAAACATGGCGTCCTAATCCAGAAGCTCTCTTCACACCACCAACTGCAGCCCATTAACGTCCAGCTTGTTCTCTCCCATTTGAATATTTTCAAAAACAACTTAATGGTTCTCTTGATGAAGGCATCTATGTGGGGATGTCTGACAATACTCAGAAATGTTACAGTAACAGTGGTTTTCTTGATTTTCAGTCTTCAATAACTATAACAAGGAATTTCTTCTATATGAAATGGCAGTCAAATGAGTGTAGACTGCATTCATGCATCTCTCACTTCAGGATTGTTGTAGCACTGACACACTGGCCTCCAAATGGCCATGTCTCCTGTATCATAATGCCAGACAATCCTTAGTCATACTCACCTCATATACTTTGATAAGAATACCCAAAATTTAGTCAGGCATGGTGGCATACACCTTTAGTCCCAGGACTCAGGAGGCAGAGGCAGGTGGATGTCTGTGAATTTCAAGGCCACTCTGGTTTACAGAGTGAATTCCAGAACAGCTAGGGCTACAAAGAGAAAACTGGCTGCCCTTCCAGAGGTCCTGAGTTCAATTCCCAGCAATTACATGGTGGCTCACAACATCTATACTGGAATCTGATGCCCTCTTCTGGTGTGCAGACTTACAAGCAGATAGAGCACCCATATACGTAAAACACATAAATAAATCAATCTTTAAAAAAAAAAAAAGCCGGGCGGTGGTGGCGCACGCCTTTAATCCCAGCACTTGGGAGGCAGAGGCAGGAAGATTTCTGAGTTCGAGGCCAGCCTGGTCTACAGAGTGAGTTCCAGGACAGCCAGGGCTACACAGAGAAACCCTGTCTCGAAAAACCAAAAAACAAATATTCTTAAACACTAAGGCCATTGCTCCAGCCCTAGCCATGGCTTCTTTTTCTTTCTTTTCTTCTCAAATAACTTTGTGTGTGTCATGTATACATGTTCCTGTGTGTGCATGTCCATGTGGAAACCAGAAGTCAGTATCAGATATGTCCCTTAAGCATTCTGTATTTTTAAATTTGATATGTATATCAAATTTAAATTTATTGATATGTATAATATATATATATATATATGTATATATATATATATATATGTGTGTGTGTGTGTGTGTGTGTGTTTGTATGTGTATATATGTAGGTATGTGTGTGCATGTGTGCATGCATGCACACATGTTCACTGGGCCTAGAACTAACTCATTTTATTTGGCTAGCTGGCCAGTCACATGAACTCTAGGAATCTGAATGTGGGTCCTCATGTTTCCGCGGCAGGAACCCTTGCAGACTGAGCCATCCTCCCCCGCCCGCAGGTAACCTTGAGTAATGCTGCTTCTCCCTCGGCACAGGCACCTCTGCTCTCCTGCCTCACAGCAGCAGGCTGGACTGGGACCACAAGATGCGCTGCTAAATTTCTGTTTCCTCCCCTCTGTCTTGGCTTGTTCCTTCATTATACTGTCTTCATACATTTTCTATCATAGACTGAAATCTAAGTACACCTTCTTAAACAGTAACGATGGGTAAAGCAGGAACCATAAGGAAAAATGAGACATGAAGACGTCCAAAAATACTCACGACAACACGCGGTGTTACTAGGAGATACACAGTGTGGCGAACTACCTTGTTATCTCGAACATTCCACAATCTCTCCACTTTCCGAACCACTTTATCACTCCACTGATACAAGCCAAGACTGTAATTACAGAATAAGACAGTTGTTTTGCCAACTTACTATAACTTTAAATGTAAAAGTGTTTATAAATATCAATATGAAACTGAAATACTTGAGAGTTATTATATGTCATATCCATGTAATGAACTTATAAACATTTTATTTTCTTTTTTTTTTGGTTTTTTCGAGACAGGGTTTCTCTGTATAGCCCGGGCTGTCCTGGAACTCACTCTGTAGACCAGGCTGGCCTCGAACTCAGAAATCCGCCTGCCTCTGCCTCCCGAGTGCTGGGATTAAAGGCGTGCGCCACCACCGCCCGGCAACATTTTATTTTCTTTCTTTCTTTTTTTTTTTTTTTTGGCTCTTCGAGACAGGGTTTCTCTGTATAGCCCTGGCTGTCCTGGAACTCACTCTATAGACCAGGCTGGCCTCGAACTCAGAAATCCACCTGCCTCTGCCTCCCAAGTGCTGGGACTAAAGGCGTGCGCCACCACTGCCCGGCTTGTTTTTGTTTTTTAAACAGGGTCTTGTGTAGTACAGACTGGCCTTAAACTTGCTATGTAGCAGAGGCTGGCCTAGAACTTCTTAATCTACTGCCTCAGCCTCCCAAATTCTGGGATTCCAGGTATAAACTAAAATGAATGGCTTCTCCAAACAGGCTAACAACTGCTTCCTAACAACTGAATTTATCACTCTAGTATCTCCATTTACACTGGACGATCTCACAGAGCATCGGCTTCCTTTGAATCCTTCCCCACAGCGCTCTCCCATGCTATAGTATGATAACATAACCATTTGCACTTTCCATCAGGGCCAGCATGCTTTTCAAAGACAAGACTACCAAACGAAAAGCACAATGTAGGGAACACACCCATTTATATATTACCACATACATCTTTGTCTCTGCAGCACCCCCTTTGGTTCTTTGAGATGAGGTCTCATGTAGCCCAGCCCTGAGGTGACCTTGAACTTCCATCCTTCTGCCTCCACCACCCAAGTGTGGGTCACCATCACTGCCTAGAATTTTGTACCCTATAATCACGCTAAAATATTATAAACAAACACATACTAAATAAATTGTATAAACTATTTTATTAGAGTGCTTTGTAATTAAATATATATATATATATATATATATATATATATATATATATATATATGTGTGTGTGTGTGTGTGTGTGTGTGTGTGTGTATGTGTGTGTGTATATATAAAGTGATAAGTTTAAGGGTTAATTTTTTAAGATTATTATCATTTATGTGCCTGTATGTGTCTATATATGTATATGTGTAGGCACCTAGGGAGACCAGAAAAGGGTGACAGATCCTCTGGACCTCAAGTTACAAGCAGTTATGGGCCTCCTAATATGGGTGCTGGTAATAAAACTCAGGTCCTCTGGAAGAGCAGCAAGTGTTCTTAACTGCTGGGCCATCTCTCCAGTTCCAAGTGCTAATTTTTTAAAGTTTTATTTATTATTATTAGCGCCTGTATGTATGTATGTATACATGTATTTATGCATGTACATATGCATGTATGATGCATGTTTGTGTACTGTGTATAAGTTTAGGCTTGTACAGCATGCAATTTCCCTGCTGAGCCATTTTGCTAGCCCCAGATGAACTGTTAATGCTTACTCCATGTTACTATCCCAAGAAAGTCAGCACCCAGGGCGGTTTCCCTGGCACTGCTCAATCTATAGCTACCGTACAACAGTTAGCAGACTGCGCCCTAAGGTAAACACATTTAGCTTTTATCATCACTAGTATCTGGCTCCCATAAAGTAGAATATCTGAATTATTCTGCTTCATGTCATACCTGAGAAGTTTGGCCTTGTTTCTGCATACAGCAAAGGTGCTCTTTTTTTTTTTTTTTTTTATTGTTTTTTGCTGGTGCTAGGGACTGAACCTATGACCTCATGTTCTATGACTGATCTACAAACCAGCCAATAGTGTGCTGGTTTTCTGTTTTTTAATATTATATAGTTTTCAGTTTTATGAACATACTATAATTTATTTATTCAACCTAGTCTTTATAGATTTTGAGGTGGTTTATATTATTTGTCATGCGTAAAACTGCCACTGGGTGGTGACACACTCGTTTATAATTTATTTATTCAACCTAGTCTTTGGAGATTTTGAGGTGGTTTATATTATTTGTCGTGAATAATACAACTGTCACTGGGTGGTGGTGGCACACTCGTTTAATTCCAGCACTTGGGAGGCAAGGAGCAGGTGGATCTCCGAGTTTGAGGTTGCTTAGCCTGGTCTACAGGACAAGTTCCAGGATAGCCAGGAAAACCCTGTCTCATAAATCAAAACAACAACAGCAACAATAACAACAAAAGTCTCTAGTTTTTTCATGTGTTATTACAGACATGTAATACTTATTTTTTTATTTATTTATGTCTATTTATTTTTAAATATTATTTATTATTTTACTTTATTTTTCTAAATACCTTATTTTAGATACTTATTTTGGTATTAATTTGTACTGATGGTTCTTGTCCTGTGACTGGTACTTTCTACAAAACTGACAGAACTGTTTTCGGTATTTCTCGACATTGCTTTTTTAAGGCCTGAACCTTTTAACTACTGCTAACTTAGTGGGAAAAACAAAAAAAACAAACACACAAACACAACCAATCCCTGTTTCCCCACAGCCAGATGACATACTGTGAAGTAAAGCAAGTTATAACGTGGCGGGAAGAGCCCTGAATGTCCTCTGAACAAGCCACCTCTGAAGTCCACCTTGTCTCAGAATCTACAGTTCCCTTACGGTGGCCACAAAGACACTGTCATTCACTACATGGAAAATGCTGTGGTTCTCAGGTTCTAGCCTTACGTCCTCTAGAAAAGAGAACAAGAAAGAAAATGGCATAGCCGGGTAGTGGTGGCACACGCCTTTAATCCCAGCACTCGGGAAGCAGAGGCAGGCGGATTTCTGAGTTCGAGGCCAGCCTGGTCTACAGAGTGAGTTCCAGGACAGCCAGAACTACACAGAGAAACCCTGTCTCGAAAAAAACCAAAAAGAAAAAGAAAGAAAGAAAATGTCAGATACCTATAGTTGAAGGGCGGGAGGCCATCTGCAGACCTTGCAGTCAGGGGGTTTCCATCTTGATCATGGTAGAATGCAAAAAGACCAGCCGAGAAGCCCTGGAAGAGAGAATTCAGCGTCCTAGAGTTGGATGCTGAGTCTAAGCAGACACAGCACTTTGCCACCACGGAGGTGTTCTTGAAATTAGTCACCAGAGCACCACACAGCTCTGCAGAAGTTACCCCATGCTTCAACTCAGCAGCAACTAAGAGACTGTACTCACAGCTTAAAAACCAAGTGACTTGCTGTAAACATTTGAAAAAATATTTTTATTTTTACTAATGTGTGAGTGTCTGTGTGATTGTTGCCAGGCATGTGTGGGTGCTTCCAGGGGCCAGAAGAGAGTGCTAGATGCCCTGGAGCTGGACTTAAGGGTGCTTGTGATCTGCCCCACAAGCACTTAGGAACTGAAGGCAGATCCTACAAAAGAGCAGCATGTGTTCTTTGCTGGTCACCTCCAACCCACTGATGTGATTTTTTTTTTTCCATTTTGGTTTTTCAAGACAGGGTTTCTGGTCGCCCTGGGTGTCTTGCCATTCACTTTGTAGACCAGGATGGCCTCTAATTCACAGAGCTCCCCCTGCCTCTGCCTCCCAAGTGCTGGAATCAAAGGCATGCTACTACTGCCCAACTGGTGTAAAGAGTTTCTAAAGTATTTTATATATTTTAAAGTTGCTTTCAGGCTAAATACTATATATATATATATATCAACACTATGTTATCATGATATCTTAAAGCTACACTGTACACTACATATTATATTACATATTTTGGTATTTTTCCTTGTTGGAGACCCTATTAGGTATCATTTCCAAATGTAGAATAAAAGTTGAAAATATGAAACCCACGCAATGAATTACAAGACCAAGCCCTCACTACTTCCATGGCCTTTATCTATAAACATCAGATTTGAAGAGAGAAAAACTTAAGAGGTGATTTTCTAAGGCACCATGAACAAGGATAACAAGGACATGTTTTGGCTATCTTCTTCACCCAAATTTACTAAGAGCCGAAACTGCAGCCAGGCAACACCACTATTGAAAACCATTAACTATTGGATGGTGTTGGGAACTGGGGAGCGAGGGGTGGATAAAAGCTCAAATTGGCATTTCGTGCACATGTCTATCCACATCTGTGTGTGTGTGTGGGGGGGGTGTGCATGCATTTTGTGCATTCATGTGTGAGAGACAGTCAGGTAGGCATGGGGCTCATTTGCTAGAATGGCTGTCCAGTGCATATGAAGCCCTAGATTTACTCCCCAGCACTGCCCACACTGGGTATGGTACCACATGCTTGTAACCATGGCAGCAACCCTCCTGCTTTAGCATGTCAAAGGCTACAAGTACAGACCTGAGCCATCATATCTGGCTCTAAGATGAATTCCTTCTCAAATTTAATTCCCTCTCCAAAAGTCCTGTAATCAATGGGAATGACTGCTGAATTGTAAATCATGCTAGACAGCAAAACTCAACCTGCCCCCGTCCTGACCATTAAACATTTTATTGACAGAAACATAATTAATCAGGTTTTATTGAACATGAATCTAAGAACTCACGTATCATATAAAACATGTATTAAAACAATAAAAAATGTAACAAATAAAAGGTCTGAAGGAAAGGACAGAAGTTGACAGCATTTACCAGGGCATGGATGATCTCATGCTTCACTGTGGAGAGCATCCCGACAAACTCTTGTGGCTGGGTGGAGATCATATTTGGACACAGGTTAGCATATCCTGCTATGGGCCTGTTGAAATAAACACGACATTTTTTTTTTACTATATTTGAAACCATATAATACTTACTAATCTGTATTTCTCTGAGAAAGACAGCTCAAGTTCTTTACTTGCTTACTATCAAATAAATTTTAATAGCTAATTCTTATTCTTTTTTACTGTCAAGACCCATACCTTCTGCTTTCCAACAGCATGAAAGAGAAATATATGTTTGTTTGTTTGTTTGTTTGTTTGTTTTTTGAAGGGGCTTCACTGGGGCCTTTCAAGGGTTCAACACCCTGAGTAATGACCACTGTGTATCTGGGTGTCTTTCAAAGCTGTGGGAAACAGACCTGTGAAGGAATTCAAACTGTTTCTTCTACTCTTGCTTTAACAGTTTACTGTGGAAATACCAAAAATCTCACTGTTATAGTTGCCTACTTATAACAAATATTTGTCCTTTTTAAATAGAAAAACGGTATTATTTTCTGATAGCATCAGACTTAAGTACTTTGAAAAAGTATATCATTAATCAAAACATTGCCACACAGACAGATATGGTAGTACACACCTGTAATCCCAGAAGTGGGAGGCTGAGGCAGAATTGAAAGTTTGAGGCTATCCTGAGCTACATAGAAGAGCTCATCTCAAGAAACAAAACACAACCACAGTGGCTCAGCTATGTAGTGAGTGTATTGCAGGCCAGGCTGAATTACAGACCACGTCTCATGGGATTGGGGCAGAAACAGATACTGTGCCAACCGTTGTTCCACATTAACGTTCTCAGAGGAAAGCAAACCCTTCCCCAGGGGTAATTAGTTTCACATTCATTGATACCAAGGCCATTTATTCTTTAGCTATTTCTTCCTATCAAATGTGAACCAACAGTAAACACCACAACCAAGTAAGGAGCAGGGTAACAGAACTGAGAAACGCCTTCCTGCTGCCAGTCTCTCATCTGTCTGACTCCTGTGCTGAATTCTGTCACCGGAAGACAAGCAGATGCAGAGGTGCTTTTGGCATCATGAGACACAGAAATGAGGTTAATTAACCTAGATTCAGTCAAGTTGGGACTTTTCTATCCTTCCCCTCACTCATCAGGTCAACTTGATCCTAATATATAAAGTCCAAGACAGTTTCTATAAAAGCAATAAAACCTCACAGTATAGAGGAAATTGTTCAAACAATGTAGAATCATGAAGAGCTAGAGAAATGGCTCAGCAGTTGAGAGCACTGACTCTACCAGAGAAACCTGGTTCAGTTCCCAGCATCACATGGCAGCTCACAACTGCGCCTTTATAACTCTGCAGCCACGCAGCCAATAAGTGGTGCACAGACACACATGCAGACAAAAACACCTATACACATAATATAAACTGACTTGTAAAAGAAATCTGTAAAGAAGATAGTGAAAATGTCCTTGTTCTCCTTCCTGTCTTTTCTAACTTTCGACATCAGAAGCAGCTACTATTGCCAACAATACCACGCATGCTATTTTCAAGCCAGAACAGTTTCCTCTAACGTGGGACACTCAGTGCTACAGCCAGACAGTCCTAGAAAAACAGGGAGAACTGGAAATTCTGTCTTTCTGAGGCTTCTCCTGAGAACATTCAAGTACACACAGGCACTTTATTTTTGCAATGTTCTTTCAACACTTTATATCAAAATGTGATTTTGTATACGTGGTGCATACAGTTCAGTTCAAACTGAGAAAAGGAACTAGGATTCTGTAGCACCAGCAAGTGAAAGCTTATACCTCAAGAACATTCCACTGGCTCAATCTATGAAGTAACTAAATTATCACTCATATAATCATTCATCGGGCAGTTCAAATATCATATTCCATTGATTCTGACACATCATGAATAAGGTATAAATTTCAAATAATTTCTTGGGGGAGAAAAGGAATACTAGTAAGATCCATAAATCTTCAAAACCAGGTGCAGTTCTGCAGTAACAAACCCAACAGTCAATGCAACCGCTTGTCAATATTCAGTGTGAGGACTCGAGTCAACCTCACCAAATGCATAATCCATCTTCATTCCAACTTGACTGGATTCTTAATTACCAAGGGTATATACACAGTGGGAGTGTCTTTAAGATGTTCCCAGGAAGGCTGAACTGAGGAAGGAAGACCCACCTCAATGTGGGCAGCACCATGCAATGGGGTGGGGTCCCGGAGTGAACGAGAGAATACAGAGCTGAGAACCAGCACACAGCTGCAGCGGAGAACCACTAGATGTTAGGGATGCTGGGCCATGGACATCTCCTTAAGAAGTTATGTAGACAGAGTCAGGACAGCTCAAGAGAGGCTACCTGTGCTAGAGATAGGATTAGAGGGCACAGGATGCTTGAGCTGCCGGAGCCCAGATAATGTCACAACAGCCCTCGGTGTGAAATGTGGTGTTGGAATAGTGGTTTGTTCTGTTGGGTTTTGGTTTTGTTTTAGGTAAATTTTTCCTTGCTATGAGTGCTTAGGTTTGTTGTTGTTGTTTTGGTTTGTTTGTTTTTTGTCAACTTGTTAGAAGCTAGCTAGAATCAGCCAGAAACAGGGAAGCTAAGTTGAGACACACCCCCATCAGAATGGCCTGCAGTCAAGTCTGTGGAGCACTTTCTTGATTAATGATTGATGTGGGAGGTCCCAGCTTATTGTAGGCAGTGCCATCCCTGGGGTGTGTGTGTGTGTGTGTGTGTGTGTGTGTGTGTGTGTGTGTGTGTG